GCACTGATTTACTGGTAGTCTCGAAACCCTACTCTAATAAGAATCTGCTTGGCCTTAATAGCATCGCTTCCTTTCAGGTCTTCACGATAACTAGTGTCATGTCAGCGTGTAGTGAAAGATTCATGTTCTCTTCCCTAGTGGGCCCAGTTAGAGTTCCTCACGAAACTCTCAGTATTACTGAACTCGCTAAAAACAACTTTAATTCGTAATGATTATTAAAGAAAATACTGGTATAAGCTGAGGAATTTCTGTCATGAGGCAAATATCTATACAGTTTTGGAAGAGTAAAATTATGAAGACCTTTCTCGAGTTAAACCACTTAAACACTAACTAATAATGGTGTTGATTAAATATAGTTAAATAAAATGCTCTTAATTAGGACTAACTAAAGGATAATAGTGAGGTAACTAACGGCCTACAAAATATTACGAAAATATATGCCTCAGCAGCTTCTTTATCCAGAATGAAAAAAATGCATTTAATCATTAGCTGCAAGTAGTAAAATTATTTCCTTCATGTTTTAAGTAAATTTGTTAAAATACGTTTATAAACTAAGGGCAAACTACATCGATATAACAGCCAAATAAGCCTTAAATAGTAAAAGCGGAGACAAGAATTTTTTTTCCGCATGTTCTGAGATTACGCTTACATCATAACAAGTTGGGTAGTGCAAACTTAGATAATTTTTCAAAAGAATTTATAAATTTGAGAATCGACCAATATAACGTAAAAATTCATTTTTGCCACGATGCTAGGGAGTAATGATAAAAATGTAGACCAAAAGCAAGCTAAGAATATATATATTTCCTGATGGAAGTAGTATAAGGTTCCATTTTTCAAATATTCTTATATCAAAAATAGTAAAAGATGAGCTAAAGGCGTAGATCAATTAAAAAAATTGATATGGAGTTAATAAAAAAAGAATAATTTGCAAATCCAATAGAGCAACAGCAAAATAATTTATGAATGACTGAAAAAAGACAGAAAGATTCACCTCTTGAACGACTTCGGAATACTCCTTAATTCTTTCAACAGAAACAATATTATTCTCTAAATCGGCTAGGGAGCGGATCAAGTGGCCCATCGATTGGGTGAGGTTAAAGGTGTAACTGATAACAAGTCCAGTGAAGCCAACAGTAAGCTGACCACGAGATGCAACGGAGAAAGCAGCTACAAGCATGCTAATGAGATTCCCCATGAATTCTAATCGAATGGACAACCAACTGAAAATAAGGAAAAAATGCATAGAATATCAGAAAGAACTTAGAAAATATAGATATGTAGGTAGTCAAGTAGGTGACGACTATAAATGAATTTGAAAAATATAAAAAGCTATATAATAATCTTTAGAGCTGTACAAATAAGCGAGAACCAGAGATAAAAATATAAATCCTAAGAAAGAAAGAGTATATAAATAAGCTTACACGATTCCCATAGCCTAAGGTGAAATAATCAAGATATTTTAAGGAAG